GACGCAAGCACGAATCGTTCGTCACTCGAATGACGACAGGCATATGATCCCGTCGTCAGACATAACCTAGATTAAGTAAAAATAACATAATTATGTTATTTCCACTGTATTCTTGCTTAGATCTGAAAGAGTTTTGTGGTTCTCCTTCCTTTTTAATATAAGGTTTTTCTTCTTTTTTAAATAGTGGTTTCGAAGATTCTGATCTAGACTTTCTAGGTCTATTATTATCCTTGTTGTATATGGGTTGTTCACTTTTAATTTTAAGTATCTTGATATCATCTTTTAATTTGTTAATGATATTCTGGTAATGTTGTTTTTGTTGTTGGTACTTTTCTTTATTCTGGTTGTTGTATTGTTTGTCACCTTTGTTTTTATAATTTTAGTCTTGGTATGGGTATTTAGCAAATCATTTTGGGTTAGAGCAGTTTTTTGCAAAGTGTCCTTTTTGCCCACACTTAAAGCAGTGTAATTTTTCTAGGTCTATTACTGCTAAGTTTTGCTTTGCTGAAAAGAATGCTTCTTTATTTCTGAGTTTGCCATATTTGCTTTGAAAATATTTTTCTACATCACTGTTGTAATATGTACTATAGATTCGTTCAAGTGCTTTAAATGCTATTTCGAATGATGTTGGTGCTCCTGTAAATTGTAGTTGGAAAAAGTAGTCTTCTCTTTGATAACATCCTGTAGGTAGTTTTTCTTTGAGGTCTGTCCATGCTTCTTCTTCAAAGGATTGGTTAATTGCTGCTTTTTCTCTCATTTTATAGTATGATGCTTTAAATAACTGTAATTCGAGATTGCTAAGATATTGAGGTCTGAATACTAGTGCTTTGAATTTCTTTTGAGCTTCTGCTTGTGCTTCGGCACTAATATATTTGTTATGCATAAATAGTATCCATGAACATTGGTTTGATGTGTTCTGAGGGTTTGCAGTTATTCATGTTGCTTGGAAGGTCTCTTGTCCTGGTTTTGTTGTGGTTAATATATAGTTTACATTTAAGGTTTCGTCAAATCCTCTTTTGTTTTTGATTTGCCTTTTTATTGATTCCCAGGTATGTGAAGGTGTTCTTCCTCTATTTGCTTGTTATCAATCGCTTGGAAACATGTATACAAAGTATTGTTGCTTTTTGATAAATTCATCTCGATACGGTTTTTCAAAGGTTTCTTGTGTTAGTCGATCTAGAAATTGTTGTATATATAATATATTAAACATTCCTTCGAATTTGTCATGATTAGTGGCATCATCAGGGTTTCTTTCTATTCATACCATATCATCATCACGGGTATATCCATAATTTTGAGTTCCATTAAAGAATCCTAGTATTAATAAAGGTTCTGGTATGTATAAGGTTATATTATCCATGAGTGTATTAAAGTATGTTGTCTAGTTTCTTCCATTAAACCTTACTCTTTTCATGATATCTTTAGCAATATCTACTTTACTAAGATTAGGAAATTTAGTTTCTTTGAATATAGCTATTATTGCTGTTGGTAGTACCCTTGTAGATGATCCTGATGTACTTGTCATTAGATTTTATTTAAATCTTCTGGTGGGAATTGTATAGGTACTTGTTTTGAGTATGCACAGTATCTTATATAGTCTTTTAAAGTTTTGTTTGCTGCTTGTCATGCCCAGTTAAGTGTTTCAGTTTCTTGGTGTTTATATGCTAGTATTACTAATGCTATTTGTTTTTCTTCGTTATATTAGTTTGGTTGGGTTGTAAATAGCTGTTTTAGTCTATAAATTCATTTTTGGTTATAATCAAATTGGTCTTTACTAATAAGCTTTTCTAAATATTTGCTATTATTAAAGTTTGTTCTAAAGGTTTCGTAGTAGGCTTTGTTGTTTCTATAATATGTATAACTGAATGGATATCTTCGGTTTAATGCTTTGCTGATGGTCATTAATTAGTGTTCTTTAGATACTTCTTGTTTGTGAACATTGTTATGTATTCAAGGTTTTGATTAAATAGGTTTGCTATATTTTGTTGATATTCAATAAGATCATTTCTTCTAATACTGTATACTAAGTATGCTTGCTTGTGTTCTTCTGTTAATGTTAGTGGTTTGTTAGTATTAATTAGTAATATTATCTTATCATATATTACTTGTTCTTCCTGTATAAGTAGTTTATATACTAGTGGTTTAGCTTTATATTCTAAAAAGTCGAGTTGTTTATCTAGTTTATTCCAATCAATTGAATAGTCAGAGTTGATAAAGGATTCACTTTTGTAAGCATGCAGGTCTTTATAATGCTTCGGTATATTTATTAATTATTGCGAACAGTTTGATTAATGATATCATGTATTCTTAAGGCTTCTTCGTTTATGTTCTTAATTTTCCTTTCATTTTCTGCTATGTTTTGTCTCTACTTGATAAATACGTATAATAATATTGTGAATATTATTGTTATCATGATTACAATATTTTCTGTAATTGTGTTTGGGTCTTGAAAGAATCTGGGTGTTACTGATTCAGTAGTTACAATAATTGAGGTAATAGCTGATGCTGTTGGTTATATAGTTTGTACTTGGGTATATACGATTGTTTGAAATATTGTTGGTGTTGGTATAATTATGGTTGAGATTTGTACTTATTGATGTTCTTGCATTAAGTAAACTGTGATTTGTGTTTACTTCTTTTGGGTGCTGCTGGTTTATATGGTAAGTTAGGTTCAGAATAATTTGCTAGTTGTTTTAAATGTGGTGTAATATGTCCTAGCGGTGCTAGTAATAGTTTAGTAGGTTTAGGTGGTCTTTTTGTAGGGTATGCGTTTGGTACACTATCTCCTATTAAT